ACAGTATTTAACTACTTGCCTGTAAATATGATCAATGAAAACGGACACAGAAATGTGTTTGCATGCCCCATGAGGGGAAATGGGATTTCACTAGTCTAATTACTTGAAAACCTAAACCATTATGCATTTATTAAAATAATAGCGACATTTACTCTAATTTCCCATTAGAATAAGTGTCGCAGGACAAAAACCTCCTTTTTGTAAAGTCGGATATCACGTCGGATCATAGATAATAGAATACATTCAAATCAACAACACCCCAGCACTCAATGAGAGAGACTCTTCAAGTAATAATAATATACCCCATATAAAAAACATGACCATAGAACAAGACCTCCCAGTCCGTCGCGCTCCGAAGAAATTCTTCGGTTTCCATAGGAATCGGCGATAGGGCTGACAAACAGACAATTATTTCGATTATTTTATAGTAGAGGAAGGGGTAAAATACTACAAAAAATCTTTATCGGAGTTTTTAATTAGGGAATTTTATCATCTGGGAAAATATACAAGGACTTCTTCATTAAATATCATAAAAAATTACACCTTCCTACCTTCCTATCAATTATCTCAGTTGTTCTTATAGTGAAACATAATACAATTGATTTTAACCATAATTTGTAGTTAACGCAATAAAAAAATCACTTTTAACGGTTTATGACGCGAAGTTTAACTGTTAAATTATTTTTAATATTATTTAACTACGGTCTGACGTTTTGGGTGCTTTGCTATTGCAATTGCCATGGTCATGGAGGTATTGAAGGGGGGCCAAATATACCTAATGTCAAAATCTCAAAGTCAAATTTGGTAAGCTAGCGCCATCTATTTCATTGTAGTTGGTGTTAGAAGAAACTGGCTGGGTCCTTAAAGGACTGACTCAGAGAACTCGAGACAATACCTAACTGGTTTAATTCTGTTATTCTCGTATGCTCTTGTAGATAAACATTTTAAGAGTATGAAAATATAACTCAAATCATAAAATTGCAGTTAGGCTACTCTGCCTCTAGCCTCCATTGTAAGTCAGTGCTTCTGGCAGCCCTAATCAGGGGTCATGTTGCGTGGTTTTTGGTTCGTGTCAAACGTCTACAATGCCTATTATGAAGCACAAAGGTGTAGGGAACCCTCCTTTCGCACCTCGCTTTTGAGCTGGCTTTGCGCGAGGTGTAATTATTTAGAGAATTTTTGTGTCAGTGGAAAATTTTTATTTGCATAAGTGAATTAGTAGAACAGCTGGTTTCATATTGGTGTCACTTCAAAAAATCACATTTACACTAAATTTATAACAGCTGACGGACTTGGTCTAGTTGTATCATTGTATATAATAATCGGATCGTGGTTCGATCCCCATCAAATTCAACTATATATATTTTTTTTAAATGGATATTACACGGGTACGAATATCGAAGTTATGTCCGGGTCGTGAAATACCGTCCACAGATAAAAAAGCTATAATGTTTAATCGCGTTTAGGTTTCAGTCTGTGGTTTTACAAAGATCCAGTAAAAAAAGGTCAGATGCGCATCTGCTATAGATGTTATATAGCTGAGGTACTTCACCTTCAATTAAGTGAACTAAATGCTTGTCTGTCCTTCTCTATCATCTATCAAACCAGTTATCCGGACAGTAAATAGAAAAAAAAACTATCATAAAAAAACAGACCGGAACAAAGACAAATATACTTAAACTTACTTTGAATCTCTAAATAACTACTATTACAAGTGGTCTACAGATACAGACATGGATTATAGTCCAAACCTCGAACTATAGTCTATGTGTGTGTTTGCTCATTATACTCAAATAATATTATTTTTTTAGACGGGAATATAATGTAATTAAAACGTCAAATTAAATTATCTACTTGCTCTGTAGCTTAATTAAGCTGTGCACATTCGTTCACACCTATCTCTGTTCATCGGAGACTTGTGGGATAATAATTAATTTGTAAAAAGCACCATTCATTTAAATCCGCGCTTTTGTCCCCAGTAATTATTAATTATACCGGGGAATTTCACACTGTCATTAATATTGAATTGAGGTTCCCTTAAAGGAAATGGAGGTGATGTATTATAATGTGTGAAATCCTGTTTCCCCTCACGGGGAACGAGACGAACACATTTCTGTGCCCGTTTTACCGATCGATATCTTTCGGGCCTTTAGTGTTTTTCAGGGATTCGAAGGTGGTTATTTTTATTTTGCCATTATTGTAGTTTTAACCCAATTGCGAAGTTAATTGTTTTATTATCTATATTAAAATTATAAAGTTAAAGCGTTTGTTTGTTCATTTAATCGTGCTAATCTCAGTAACTACTGGTTTTAATTAAAAATGTATTTTTGTTTTAAATAGACCAATAGTAGGCCTTAAGGTATATAACATCACGCTGCAACCAATAGCACTTAAGAATCAGTTTGAATAGTTGTAAAAACGAGGAAAATTATTTATCTTTGAGAGCTTCGTTTGCGACCGCAACGGTCAGAAGAAATATGTATGAAAGAATTATTCTTTTAAATAAAACACTTTAACGGTTTAAAACGAGATATATTAGTTAAACTTATTTGAAAATGATTTTTAACTTCGGCCCGACGTTTCGGATGCTTTGCAGCAGCCGTGGTCACGGGGTCTCCCCGTTTAACTAATATATCGCGTTTTAAACCGTTAAAGTGTTTTATTTAAATGTGTACTACTCGCGTAAACTATAGACAGTATAGAATTATTCTTATTTAAATAACCTAAAATATGTTTCGACAGTATGCGCTTTTAACAAGAATCGTTTTTATGATAATCAAATTTAGTCGATTTATATGGCAAAAGAACTTAGTTGTGCCAGGTCAGCTAGTAAAACACGCCGGGGGGGCGTTAGAAAAGGCAATATAAAACCTTCAAGCACAGTTATTTCCCCATTAAGTATTTACGCGAATTACGCGCTTAAGTAACGAACATTTTTCCGCGTAGCAACACTGCCTTGAGGCTCGCTTTCTTAACGCACAAGACAAAATGGCGGACTCTTGACATATTTCCATTGAGATCAAAGTGCTAGGTACATAGGGGCTGAACCCTCATAGATTCTAGGTATAATTTACATCTAGGATAGGGTGCAACGCGATATGCACTAACTAGTTATGTAATACGGTCTAGGAGAAAGATTTGCTAGTTCTAGGGTTCCGTATATGTTTTGATTTATAGTTATTTCAGATATTAAACTAGATTTCAATTTTAGTATTTTTTTTTGTATTTGCAATTTTTGAATTGAACTGCTTTTTAGACCGAAATTCACTTACAAAACCTACCAAATTTGGACCAACTGTATATATAGTGTAGGTCAAAATTTGAAGGTGGCGGTATTACAAGTCGCTTCCGTAGCTTAATGGTTACACTAGCTTAGCATTGTGTAACAACGTGAAAATTACGATAAATTATTTCGGTCGAGCAGTGCTCATGTCAAAGTTTATAAAATCGATTAGTAAAATAGATTTTTTTTATGATAGAAGAGGACAGAAAAACGTGAGGTTTACTTGTTGGAAAGTAAACAAGATATGCTGTCGATCTATTTTAACTATGGTATTTGGAAATACAGACATACCGAAACGCATTTAAACTTCATGGCTTTTTCGCCTGTGGACGGTGGTTCGTGACCCGGACGAAATTCAAATACTGTCTATAGTTTACGCGAGTAGTACACATTTGAATAAAACACTATAACGGTTTAAAACGCGATATATTAGTTAGCACATTTAAATAAAACACTTTAACGCTTTAAAACGCGATATATTAGTTACTAACTTACTAGCTAATATATCGCGTTTTAAACTTAAAATTAGTATTTCAATATGCCTAACCCATTAAAAATCCACATTTCCATACGAAGTTCAACATGTTTGAGAAAAATTATAAACTGATTAGAAACATGTAGGACCCGCGTGGGGCTCGAACCCACGCCCCGTTTATTACTATCCAAACATTGCACCATTACACGTGGAATACGAAAATGAGCTCGCCCCAAACAAAACTTACTAGTGTACAAACTGTTCAAGCAGCCGCTACTGAACCCATAGGTTATAGTTCAGGCACACGCTTGGCTCTTTTGTGTGTACATTGTTCTTGACAGGGGACTTCTATATATCGCAAATGCATAAGCCATGTTCTATCAATAATTCATCTAAGTGTATTCTCCTCCACATTATCCATATATCTTTTCTGTGTTGTTATATAGATTTAGTTACATATTTTAATTAAATCTATATTTATCTTGTTAGTATAGTGGTCGGCACTCAACTGACAAAAATCGGTGAAGGTGTCAGATAAAATCTTCCTGAGAAATAATTTAGTTTTTGTTGTTAGTAGACACCCACCAACCCATACTGCAGTAGCTTGGTGGTATCTAGAAACATTTTGTCCAGTAAGATAGCACTGTTGCGGATAGCAGAAGGGAAATTAACCGTTTGTAAAAACGAATTTGGATGCCCGAAATAACGATTCTCGCGGCCGAAGTCGCTGGCACAGCTAGTAACTAATATATATATATTACTAGTACTTCTAACGATATGACCTATAATATTACTAACTCAGTTCGACTAACTATTAACACTCAGTTTGAGATCTTCAAATATGTATCGTTAAAACCTAAACATTTTCAAAAATCTTTTAGTAAATAGAATTTAGATGTGGTACCTTTTAAAGTCCATACGAATATATGTCTAAAACAAAAGACACTATAAAATCGCGTTTGAACATTTCTCAATAATTTTACAGATATTTTGAAAAAATGCGATGTTTATGAAGATTTCAAAATGAGGCTTTATGCTGAAGTGATTACCTATCATGTCAGTGATATTCAAGAACAAACAAAATGTCAGAAAAATGTATTGGGCCAAAAGATAAATAAGTGCAAAACTGAAAAACATACCAAAATACCCCCTAAAATGCCATAACACATAATTTTCCGCGAAATTTTCAGTCAAGCAAAACCAATAGTTGTAAAATTTTCCTGAAAACCTTACGCAACAAACATGAAGGACGACGATGGTAAGTTATCTACTCTTTACTTGCAATTTGGAAATAAGCTTGATAAATAGATTTGACTCCTGTTGTAAAATTGAGAAAAATACGACAACAAAATTAACTACCTTCTTTAGCCAGTCTTGTTTCGGTCAGGCAGGGCAGAAAAGCCTGATGGACTACACGCCTGATAATTTGAGGCCGCCCTATCAAACTCTGGATTCCAATAAACAGCATACAGCAAACGTAAAGACACCGTTAGTCAATTCTACAAGGACCCGGCAACTTTCGCCAAATACCAACTTCGACCGCACATATGACGCTGTCGTAGCAGTTTTTACTTTAACGTCAGAGACACCCTCCGTTTTTAGTTTTCCCGTGACCACAGCTGTAGCTGTAAAGCACTCGAAACGTCGGGTTGTAGTTAAAATAATTTTCAAATAAGTTTAACTAAATACATCGCATTTTGAACCGTTAGTGTTTTATTTTAAGGTGCAAGTACCCATGCCATATAACATCTCAAGAAGATGCGCTGTCGGCCTTTTTTGTTTTTGGATATTCGGTGCGGTGTGCAGATTTCTTTGCCTTGCTGAACTAAATAACAAATAATTACAGAGAACGAAGAAAACACCTTCGGGGTTACCAGGTATGCATGCATGCCGTCCCTGGTCGCCCTTCAGCAGATGAGGAACCGTCTCCATCTCGCGTTCCTCGGTAGAAAACTCATGAAATGGACGATGCTGGCCACTGGCAGAGAGCTGAGAAGAATCGCCGGTGAACTGGACGGGTATATTTTTTTATTAGAGAATAATCAAAGCCAAAGTAACTCTAAATTTACTTTTACTACCAAATGAAGGACGTAGATTGAACGAGAAGAAATGGCAAGAAACTCGCCGCCATTCCTTTTACAGTCTTCACATACTTTAAGTGTACCACATATAAGTAAAACACTTTAACGGTTTAAAACGCGATATAATAGTTAAACTTACTTGAAAATTATTTTTTACTTCGGCCCGACGTTTCGGATGCTTTGCAGCAGCCGTGGTTACGGGTACATACCATTACACCAACTAGCCTGTTAGAGTATCAGAACGTTGGTATTAAAATATCGTATGCAACCTATACCGTACCTATTATTACTACTTTAATGGAGTCTTCGGGTTGGTACACTTATTTTGTGTTTATTGAATGCATAATCTGTCTTGGATTGTGGAGTCGAGTCTCCTAGCCTAGACCAAAGCCAGTTGTCCAGTCCAGTGCCGTCAAATTCCGAGATTCGAGCCCTGTTGTAAAGTTCTTACTCTTTTGACAATGTTTTTATTTTTCTAGGGTTTACAAGGGATTCAATGACGATATGAGAGAGGCGTTTATATTGCTGGCAAGGAGTAGGTATTTTTACCCGGAACTAAATAAGATGGTTATTGAAAATGTACCGAAGCAAGTGAGTAGACTAATTCAAATGACTTGTAATAAGCAAATAAACATTTCACATAAAAATCGAATTAAGTAAAGAGTTCTAGTTTGATGAATATTAATAAAAAAAACATTTTAATCAAATAAAGCAATTGTTTTACCCATTTATTGACTAATATTTTGCGTATTAAACCGTTAAAAGTATTATTTAAATGTGTATTACTCGCGAACACTACAAACAATACAATTTTTACAGTATTAATATATAAAAAAAACAAAAGTAAGTCCTAACAGATAGTTTATGATAAGCAAAAATAATAAATGCAGACAGCAGTATTAGAACTATATTATAAAAAAAATAAAAAAGTTTTCCGCCCCCCGGGTGGGCTCGAACCACCAACCTTTCGGTTAACAGCCGAACGCGCTAGCCAATTGCGCCACGGAGGCGTTGTAAATTTTGTTGAAATATATCAGTACATCCTAATTTGTATTATCAGTAACTTAATTAGTAACTTTGTGTAGTTTTATCTCTTTTCCATTTATAAGATTAGACTGTGATAGATATATCAGGTGTATATTATTTGTTCAAATAATAGTACAATTTGATATAACAAGTGTTTTCTATTCACATTTATTCAAATCAACTACAAAATGTTTATATGCCAAATTGTTAAAATTAAATTCAACAAACCTGTAAATCCCTATAGTACAATTTATTTAAAACATTAAATTTTAGCTAGCTGAAGCTTGACAATATAATATAATAGACATAAAATAGGAGTCGAACCGGATTATCTAAGATCTACTGACTTGGAAGTAGAGAAAATAATAATATCTAATTTTTTTGAATTACTTGCTAATAATAAATTGATTCCAGGCTGGTGTGGTCGTAATACCAACTACGAAAGCAGTCTCAGCCGTCAAATTGATGCATTATAAAATTTATGAGGTCAGTACATTATTAAAGTAAACCGCTTAGTTCAAGTTTATTACGCGAAATAAAATATATAAATAATTTTAACCTTCATCCGGTTCCTTTGACTACCGCTGTAAATTGTTAAAAGTGAGAGTAAAAAAAATAATTTTACCCATACTAGTTTTTTTCGGATTTTAACGTGATCAGTTTCTTTTTCGTATTTATATGACAGAATTTGTGTTTATCTAGTTGATACCCCAGCCTATAGCATCTAAACTAGATGCGCTGTCACCTATTTTAGCTTTGGATATTTGGAAATCCACAGACTAAAAACGAAACGCGATTAATCTTTCACGGCTTTTTCATCTGTGCAAGGTGGTTCGTGAGTCGAACGGAATTTCGCCATTCCCACCACCCATTTAATATCCATATTTCCAGTTTTTAAAAATTATAAATTGATTAGAAAAATGTTGGACCCGGTGAGAATCGAACTCAGGACCCGTTCTTAACCTTCTACCTGGAACTTAGATAATATATATATATATATAGTTTAATACTATAATCATCTCTTTATGTTCTAAAACGCCGCCACTAAAATATATGACAGTTATAATCGTTATATCATTGTTTTTCGGGCTGTTCGGCCGATGTGAGCGAGAACAGGTTCTCGACGTTTCGCCATCAAGTGTGGACGGCACATCAGGAGCAATGTTGAGGATTGCTCGTGATGGACGTCTCAACTGATGATGCAAACGTCGAGAACCTATCCTCGCCACACGTGCCGAAACAATGTATGCTGAACGATGGCCGTGAAAGCCTTACACAATTTATTAGTCATAATCGTTCGTTACGTTTTCCAGTATTTCCACTTTTTTAATGCCGCAATATCCGATATGGACTAGAAATTAGCGCTAAACAAGTCGTTCTTCTGACTGAAATAGTTACATTTTAAAAATATACTATATAACATAAATAAGAAATAAGTTTAAAAGTATACCTACTTATTTTTTATTAAGCACGTTGCTTGTTGTTTATGCATTGTTTTACATATTTGTAACGTTATAAAACGTGTTTTATTTAAATTCAATTAAATAATTCCTTTATTATCACAAAGTACAATATTTAACAAATAAAATAATAATACAAAAGATCCTTACAATTAAATAATACAAAAAGTACAATTTTAACTTTGTGCAATAGGCAAGGCTCAGAGTGCTCAGCAGTCAGTCTGTCCTCAGATAACAGTAGTCAAAACATGTAAATATTGTAGAAAAGTTGTAACGAACTTAAAAAATGTAATTATGACAAATTTTAGTGGCAGCGCGAATGTAAACATAAATTGTTATTATTTTTTTTATTGTTATTATTTATACTATACTTGTGCGTAAGTAAGACAAAATAAAGAGAAAAAAATATATTCTCAATGTTTGTTGTAAAGGTCATACCTAGTTACAGTACTTTCAATCGAGCATTTCCTTAGTAGAGGAGGTAAACTATTCAAATTTTTTAAATGTACTAACTACTCTCGTAATCTACAGACAATATTGCTCGTATAAATTTTACCAGTCGCACACGATTTTTTACCATTTTGAAACAAACTTTAGACAAAACTGTCTATAGTTTACGCGAGTAGTACACATTTATTAAGGTTTAAAACGCGATATATTAGTAAACTATTGCGAAAATGATTTTTAACTTCGGCCCGACGGATGCTTTGCAGCAGCCGTGGTCACGGGGGACTAAAGGGGGGGGGTGTCTTTGGCGTCAAAGTAAAGGTTTTTTGCGGGGGGGGCTTTTTTTTTTGTGGGGGGTTTTTTTGGGGGGGGGTTGGTGTTTTTTGAATTGTGTGGTGGGTTTGTTTGTGTTTGTTTTTTTGTTTAAACTGGTACTAACAGATTGAATAAACAGATGATTTTCAATGGTTTGTTGTAATAGTCATTATTTAGTTATAGTGCTTTCAAAACCGAAGCATTTCATTAGTGGAGGACGGCTAAACTGTCAAACACCTGGGATTCAAAAATTTTTAGTCAATTCTTAAGGACCTTTCGTCAATCTACAGAACAGATATTGCTCGTATAATTTTTACCATCGTCAGCATCATCCATTTACCATTTTGAAACACAACGTTTAGACATTCATGAATACGTTTTAAAAAATGGTGAAATTAAACATTTTAAAGCAACGCCTATATCATATTTATGCAGACTGAAGCGAAACCCTACGTCCACCTCGGTATAGAAAAGGGCGGTCAAACGATTCTCGAGACGAAGAAAGCTTGGTTGGAACTGCTAAAGAGATTAATTCTGATGCTGCAACTGAGGACCAGTTTTGAAACAGTCGAGGGGTCTAATAAAGCAGCTACGAAGTAAGTTTTGATATTGCTTGTTTTTAACAGAATCATTTTGAAAACGATCTGTTTAAAAAACTTTACTTTCACGGTTATTGCACATGTTGCTATTATAGATTTATATTTAAAAAAAGGATTTTTATGATAGCGGAGGACGGGCAAGCTTGGTGTTTACTTGATGGAAGGTGAAATACTCCAGCCGTATACTATCTCAACAATGCGCTGTTAACGTATTTTGGCGTTGGATATTCGGAAATCCAAAGACTGAATCCGAAACGAGATTTTAACTTCACGGCTTTTTCATCTGTGGCGGTTCGTGACCCACATGGAATTTCGATATTCCTACCACCCCTATTTAATATTTCAGATTTCCAGACGAAGTCCACCATGTTTCAGAAGAAATATAAATTGATTAGAAAAATGCTCCAGTGGGTATCGAAACGGCGACAAGTTGATTAATTACAACTAGCCCGTCAGATATCCGTATCTATCAAAACGTTAATGTTCGGTTGGAATAGAATTGCGCGAGACATGCATGTATCGATAACTCACTTGGTCATAGCTGAAGCGCGGAAAGCTGTGAATGCAGGTTCAAGTCTAGTCCGTGTCGTAAAGTTATAGTTTTGAACGTAAAGTAACGAAGCGTGTATTACTTTGGCGGGATTTTTGTTTAGATCGTAAAGACAATATTTATAAATATCCAATACGACGTTTTCGAAATGATTCTGTGTGGTACATTTAATTACTAGATTGTAATAGTACCTACGTTAGAAGTTTTAGTAGCAAATGTTTCTATAGAGTAGAGAACATAGGTGCTTAGTATGACTATAAAATACAAGGATTGAGTCGAGCTTACTAGAACAACAGAAGTTGTCAATTAATGTTTCGATTCTGTCTTGTCTATAATTCAATAAATTAAGAATACACAGATACAAAATAACGAATAAGGTAGCCACAGATGTAAGTACATAGACATATGATTTGAAACCAGGACCTTGTTCGTTACTTATCTAGTTACCAAATACAGATAATAAATTACATCTGTCATTGTTGTAGTCATAGACTGTAGAACGTAGTGTAGATATAATGTCCTAAGGACCAAGCTGCCGATGAACTCACCCTTCCGTCTCTCTAAGGACTGGACGGCAATAAAATCTATTGCGTCAAATAATTAATTACCAATTTTGAATCCGTTCCTTTTCCAAAACATGAAATATAACATAGTAATAAGATGATAATGACTCGCTTTAATTGTATCGCTCTTGTATGTATTTTAAATATATTTAAATTTTTGTGTTTTAATCTAATGTTATAAATGGGTTTGACGATGGGATGTATGTCACATTCATACATACGTTTCAGCATATCATTGTCTTTTGGGCTGTTCGGTAGATGTGAGCGAGAAGAGGTTCTTGACGTTTGATCGATGGCCGTAAAAGCCTCACACAATTTTTCATACATACGTTTGTTGGAAGAAATCATACTTTGAAAAATCATTAACAGGGACGTAGCCAATCGCAATTAAAATTTGTTTATTTTATAATACGTTCTTATATTTCGCCTCTATAAGTCTACTGTTAAATTATTTTTTTGTCAACTTTTTTTTGTAACCGTTAACTATTTTATATTTTCTAGTTCGTGTTTCCTTTAAACCTATAGAATAACAGATTTTCATCTAAATGGGTATTCCATCTGAGTAAAAAATTCCTTCTAAAACAACTTGATGCCTTTAATTGAAGAAGACACAGTTTTGTGGCTAATACCAGCTATCGAGTTCATCGTCAGTGTGGCATTTCTCAAAACAGCTACGAAGCAATCTTTATGAATCTCGCAAAGGACCAAAACTTCCTGATAATTAAAAACGTGCAGTCCTTATGGAGCAGAGTCATCGGTAGTCGAAACTAACTCTTTAAATGAACTTGAAAAACATTGTCTGCAGGAAAATGAACGTGCTCGGCAAAATTGTTATACCAAAAACAAACGTAACGATGGCATACATAAATAACGAACTAGAGGAGTTGGCGAGAGAAGAGTTTTTTAGACTTAAAAAGGTATTAGACATTAAGAGGAAGTTGAAGAAAGGTAAAGAGGTAAAAAAGCCAGTTGAAGAGAAACCTAAAAAGAAACGAAAACCTATAATACCACCACCAGAAGAGATAGAAGAAGGCAAATGCATTCTATGTGGAGCAATTATACAAGAGGAACCCATTACTGAAGAAGAGAAAGCACTTCAAGATGAGAAACTTGAACGACTTAAAGCGCAAATAAATGAAATTGTTAATATAACACGGGGATTAAATGAAGAGGGAATATTACACACTAATGTAAATGATTTTTTAAAAACCGCAGAAGATTTGAAGGAGAAGATAGGAACTAGTGAATATAGCTTTGACTTTGAACAAATTTCGGTTGATTTAAACATAGACGAGTTATGTCTTGATTGTAGAGTAAAATATTTAGAAGAACACAAGAAGAAAGAAGTTGAAGAACCAAGTACGTCAACAACTGAGGAGCCTTTGCTTCCCGAAGAATCTAAAGACGTACCAAGTCCTGATTTAAGTCACGCCACAGGCGTTACTATAAAAGAGCCATCAAAGGAAACTTTGCGATCTGGAAAAACTCCACAGCCGTCCGAAGTTTATTCACAACCGGATATTGAGTTAGGCACATTTGAAACGGAAGAAAAAGAGATAGTTAAAATAAAACGTGTAAGAAACGAAGATGGCACTTATTCTGAACAAAAGAAGGTTATTAAAATAAAGAGAGAAGTCAAAGCACCAGTGAGAGGCAAATCTACGGCATCAAATGCAAATAATAGTAGAGTATCAGAACAACAGTCTGAAGCGTCAAGGAAATCACCATATTCAGGTTCTAGAACAATTGGGTTAGTGGAATTGAAAACTGGGAAAAAGGCTGTAATGCGAAAATTTTATCAAAGAAAAGTAAAATCAGTCCCAATAACGCCAGCATGTCTAATAACGGAACCTATGCAAAGGTTCAGTGTATCTAGTGCTACATTACTCCAGTTAGATTCAGATACAAATTACAGTAGTTCAAGTGACGAATTCCTAATAATATCTTACAGTAAATCAGATCTTAAAATAGGGAAAGCTAAAGGAAATCAGCACGATTCTACTGTGGCTATAGCTGCGGTCACCACTTCAGAGGAAGAATTATTGTTAAAAATATTGGATACATCCGATATATATAGTATTGGGCTTAGATCCCAATCAATCCTGAAATTGAATAAGTTATCAAAACGTGAATTAAAGCATAGTTCCTCTTTTTATATTTAAATTTCCATTAAGTATTTTTTTTATTTCATTAACTTAATGATTATTCCTAATATACAAATTGCCGATTTAAAATAATAAAATACAATGAAGTCCTTAGAAGAGGAACGAGGGTGAGCCTAGCAGCTATGATATCTGTATTTAAATTGTTCATGGAAATCTTTGTCTGCAGGAGAATGAATGTTTTGAAAAAAATAGTCATACCAAGAACGAATGTTACAATATCTTACATTTTATCCGAACTAGAAGAAATGGCCCGAGAAGAATTTCACAGATTAAAAAAAGTCAAAGAAAAAAAAAATAAAGGAAAAATCAAAGATAAAAAGAATGATGGATTATGTCCTATATGTATTGATAAAATAAGTGATGAATCAGATACAATAAAGAAAAGCTCAGAAAAAACCTATTACACCAGTAATTGTAAAAGAAGTGTATAAACAACCGGAAACACCGTCTCCTGGACTAAGCACAACGACATCTTGGCAAACTAAAGAAGGTTTAGAATCAGAACATATACTTGAAAGTGATTTAAAACTTGAATACATTAAAAAGCATATAAATGATTTAATCATATTGGGAAAGACTTTTATAGGGACAGGGGTTGAATATATTGACGTTACAGAATTTTTACAAATCTGTGAAAATGCCAAAGAAAAAATAGAGGAAACATTTAAGACCAATAGTGAAAGTCAGTCTCCATATAAGGAAGATTATAACACAAGATTAGACAATTTTAAGGGTCATTTACGGGATGTAATTGAATTAGCAAAAGATTTAAAAGAGGACACTATTGTTGATCCCAATGTAGAAAATTTTATCCACGCATGCGAACAAGTGGATGAAAAAATAAATGTCGATCGCACAAAATCGATGAAAAGTACAGATAAAACTCGGTTACAAAAACTAGATAGCCATATTGATGATGTTGTCAGAATTACTAGAGAGTACAAAAAACAAGGTATTCTGTCACCTAGCGTTGAAGAATTTATGAATTCTTGTAAGACAATAAAGTTAAAAATCAAAGAATACTCTGCGCAAGAATCAAAAGTGGATAAAATCAATCATCTAAAAGAGCACGTATCTGATCTAGAGGTTTTGACTGATGAAGTCAAAAAGAAAGGGCTAGAATCAAAAAGCATGGAAGACTTCTCTAAATCTTGCAAAAAGTTTAAGGATAAATTAGAAAGCTATGCCAAGTCAGACCGAAAAGATATCGCCTTAAGTACTCTGCTAGAACAAATTGACGAGACAATTGGAATAAGTATGGAAGCGAAAGATATAGGAATAGTTGGCGACAGTATAGAAGACTTGGTGAAATCTTCAGAAAAACTTAAAAAACGATTTATGCCTGTAGAAGACACTAAATCTAGAATATTAAAAAGTTTAAAAGCAAACATTGATGATGTAATGTCAATAATAGACAGGTATAAAGAAGAAAGTCTGGTATCGGATAGTGTGGAAGATTTTCTAAGAACATGTGAAATGGCTAGGCATAGGATTGACGAATATGAGGTTTTCCCTCCAAACACTGAGGTTAAACCTTCGGAACCACCGTGTTACGGTAATTGTGGTGTGAGTTGTAATACGCCATACCACACCGAAGTCATTATGCCTAGTGAAGATATGGAAATATGTAAATCATGTAATAAAATGTTTCAAAAAGAGAATTCATCGCTTACACCTTGTGGGTCGTGTACTGATGAAATGAAAGAAGTTAAAGTTCCCTCCGACTTTAGCGTGTGCGAGACTTGTTCAAACACAGCTGAACCTATCTTAGAGGTTGTCGAATCTCCATCTAAAATTTCGGACGATGACTCGGATGACATTGTATATTGTGATATTTGTAGAAAAGTTGTGAGAACTAAACATGATCATGAACCACCGACGGTAGATAGCAAAACGGGGTATTTTGAGAAAAAGAAACGAAAAGTGGTAAAAATTACAAGATCTCAAAACCCCGACGGAACTATAAGGGAAGAAACTCAAACTATATCGATTAGAAAAGTTAGACGCGATAATACACAGACATCATTAGAAGACGACGATGACGATGATGATGACGGCGATACATCTGAATCGTCGGATGATGGTACGCGAGTAGCTTTGTGTACTCTACGAGATCACAATCAGTGTGGTTTTTTTGCAAACCGATTGATTAAATCTGATATAGAATTAAAAACGCCCCTAATGATATCGGGCTTACGGAGTTGTATATCTATGGGGACTATGGCTTCAAATGCTAATGAACCTTTAGAATTACACATTAATTCTAGCAATAATTTCGAATTAGAAAGCGTTTAACATTCAAAACTATCTGACAAGTAACCTTTTTTCTTTCTCTTTCTAAAATTGTTACTATACACCAAACCTAAGACAGAAGGATGAGTGCCATCGTAGTAGTTGATAAAAGGAACTATTTACATTTTTACAAATTTGACCCACAGGAAGTACAATGTGTTATCGAAAATGATAATACCAAAAGTGCACCTAAGCGAGGGGTATATCATAGCCGAATTAGAAGAAATTGAGAGAGAAGATAATTTTCGCTTAAAAAGGTTCAAAGAACTAAAGAACAAAAAGAGTAAAAAGCACGCGGGACCGATTTGCCCTGAATGTAAACTGGCGATAGATGAAAGTAATATTTGTACATGTGAAATTCCATTAGAAAAACAACAGTACATAACGTGTCCTTTGTGTGACGCAAATGTAGAAATTACTAAAGAATTGGAATGTATTTGCAAGCAAAAAGAAGAAATTCAAGAAGCTTCAGAGAAATCAATTTCTCAGAAACAGGAAAGCGTATGTACCTGTGATAATGCTGTTGGTGATGTAATGGATTTATGTCCATGTGCACAAGAAACCGTAAAGAAAGAAATCTCATTGAGTAAAAATAAACCTTTGGCTAGTAAAACAAACAAGTCGGAGACATGGACTAGATCATCGCAAAAAATGTGTTCTTGTGAAAAAATCGGTGAAAAGATACAGAATACAAAAACACAGCCCGATTTAAAATTTCAAACTAATAAGTTACCAGAACAGGAATGTTCTTGTGAAAGAATTGGCGATAAAAAAGCTAATGTTAAAGTAATAAAGGACGTTTCTGAATCACCCGAAAAATCTTGTTGTTGTGTAACCACAGATGAACCTAAAATAGACCTAGAAGACGTGCGCAAGTTAATTGGTGCGGAAAAAATTAACAATTTAAAAGATATTGTAATACAAAAAAGTATAAAGGAACCAAGCAAAGTGACATTTAATAAAACAAGCGACAAATCAGACTGTATGTCCTGTAAGTCAGATAATACCAAAACAATCAAAAGCGATGTTAACAAAAATACTGATTCTACTGGACAGTTGAAAATATGTTCAAAATGTACTCAGGAAAAGGGGTCTGATAAAAACGACTCTAAAAATGTAACAATTCACATAATTATAGGCCCTGAAAATAAAGATGGAGAAAGAGATGTGACAAAAGCGCAAGAATCAGCAAAAAAATCACGTTTTATAGAAGTACCACAAAATGTACAAAATGCGGATGACTCGGCTGACTTAGGAACCTTTGTAAGCGAGTTTAAGGAAGTAGTAACTATAAAGAGATTTAAAAATGAAGATGGTACAATAAGAGAAGAAAAACAAGTAGTAACAATGAAATCAGAGGGTAAAAATACAGATTCTGCTAGTGAGATCAATGGAATTAAAAAACATTCCTGTTCAACTCCAGAAAAGGCACAAATAAAACAAAAAGGTTCTACTAGCTCTTCTCAATTAGAAAAAGTGAAAATAGCCGCACCAATAGATAGTAAAAAATCCAAAGGTAGTTGCAAATCAAAATCAGGTGTTTCAAGCGCAGCAGAATCAAATTTGTCTATTGAACAAGTTCAATGCTGTAGTATGGGAGCTCAGACTGCTGAAGTAGAAAAATCTACTACAAATTCTTGCTGTAAAACAAATGTGAAGAACAAGGCAAACGCGTCAACATCAGTGACTAGTTCCCTTTCAGGAAAGTCATCCAGAGCATGCTTGCAACATTCATCTCGTAAAGACATCAACTCTGATCGCCCAAAAAGTTGTTGTACTATAAAAATCGTCGCCAAACCTAAAAATGCAAAGAGTCAAGATAAAGTTCTCACGGATAATTGTGTAGATTTAATTAAAAAGCTTTTGTTAGAAGCAAATCAATCAAAGGCGTCTTGCCAGTCTAATATGACGAAGTCTAAGTCAGATGGTTGTGCCTGTAAATCCAAAAAGGACACCAAAGATTTAAAAAGCTCAACAAGCCAGACCTCAAACAACAGTTGTGGTTCAACAACCACAGAAAAACGATGTGCCTGTGGCAAAGAAAAAGCAGGCCCGAAACCAAAGCCTTGTGAAAAAAACACTTGCATACATAAAACGAACGCTTCCAGTTCTGATTATTGTAAGTGTAAATCGAAAACTTCGGTGTCTATAAAATCGGATAAAATGTCTCAATGTTCTTCTAATACTTCCGTTAAAGGTTGTGAAGAGTCTTCATGTGTTCACAGGAAGAAAGAATCGCAATCCTCTTGCATGTGCAAAAGTAATTCTGCTGATAAAAGTGTTCAGTTCAACGCCAAAGAGAGTTCGACAGATTCAGCGTGTAAGGGTCAATCACAAGTTAAAATGGAGGTTTGTCCATCGTGCGGCTCAAGAGTACCATCGAAATCTACACCAAGCAATTTAACTAATAAATCTAGCGAGTGTAGTTGTGCACCAAAACCTACTCCTTCGATAAAGTCTACTTGTAAAGAAACACCATCAAAAGAATCCCTATGTAGTTGTAAAAGCAAAGACGAAATCAGACCGAAAAAAGTGGATGACAAGAGTGACTGTAACAAGGGATCCAAAAGAAGTATCTCTTTTAGTCCCGCACCTAAGTCTTCCATTTGTTCTTGCTCAAAAACACCAAGCAAACCAGCATCAACGTGTTGTAAAGATTCATCATCCACTAATTCGTTTGAAAAAAGTCGGGATACACAAACCGACTGTCCAAAATGCGCTAAAGCTGCAGCTAAGGAAAGTTCTTCTAGTAAGACACAAGCGAAGAGTCCGAGCCTTAGATCAAAAACGACCAGCTCCTGCTGCAAAGTCGAAGAAAAAAACAGCTGTAGCTGCAAAAAAGAAACGAAACCCGAACCAAAATGTCCCATATGCGCCAAACAGAGTCCCAAAAAAATTGAACCCAAATGTAGCTGTACATCAAAATCGGATACAAGCATTCAAAGCCGAACGAGTACTGGGTCCAGAAATGCAACCAAATCAGATTCCCTATGTTCAGTTTGTTCAAAGAAGAAAGAACCCTCTTGCAGTTGTGGTGGCAAGTCACGTTCCGATGCCAAGTCTGTATCCAGTAACTTTTCGAGTACCAAGTCCACGGGCACAGATAAGATGTGTCCTAAGTGCTCACAAAACGACGAGATAAGAACCATAAAAGCGCCTAGCCAGAAATCATCTTGCAGCTGTCAAACACCCAAAGACAACGAGTGCTGTGGAAAGCGTTCAAAAAGCAGTGTACAGTTTCTCGAGTCAGAGATATGTCCGATGTGTGAGCCAAGGTCCAAAGACATGGGGACGTCCACCCGAAGGTCTGATAGGTATGACGTGAGGAATTTCGGTATGTTGAAGAACGCTGAAGCGCCGAAGAAAACAACATGCACTTGCTCTTCAGACACTTATGTGGGTCTTGATAAATGGTACGAGAATACGCCTAGAGCTAGCTCTTATCATGGTCAATGTTATCATTAACTTAGCATTTCAAGGAAATAGAACAGAACTGTCAAAATAACACGAATGTTTTGATAATACTGAATATTTTTTCCATGTCACGCCAATTTAGTGTAAAATAAAGAATTGCACACCAACAATCCTAAATAAATCCTTTAACCACCAATATTTTTTATTTGCAATTCAACGAAAAATCATTTAGACTACTTTTATTGTCACAGATTATAATTGACAATTAAAATAGAAGAAGTGAGTTATTTCTGTCACATTTGTTTTTATTTAAATGATTAAGTTGCATTAAAAATTAATATTATAAAATACACGCGAACTTTAACGTAAACCCGGTACGGTGTTGGTCGTGGGTTCTAGGCCCTATGTAACATGTTAAAATGTCAATCTTTCACAGATTACGCCGCGGGTTAAATACAGACTTTACAATGAAAAAAAAAGGTTTTATACTTTATTTCGTACAACGCGCATGCGCATAGAGGCGTTATAATTAGATATGAAAGCCAAAAAGTTAATTTGTCAAGCTTCAGTAATGCCCCGATTCGCATAGTAACTCAGGTATTGTAGATGCGCGTGTGACGTCATGTCTACGTACTACGGCGGCTGGCGTGATGCCAGTATGCTTACTATACTCCTAGGGCTGTCACTACCAAGATTTTATATTTTAAAAATCGTGGCAAATTTAGATGGAATATCGTCTAAAATACAAATAATAATTAATAGTCACAGCCATAGTTAAAAAATTAACGATTCGAGCGGGACTTGAACCGGAATCCACAGCATTCCTTGCTGCTGCTCCAGCCAATTGACCTACACGTTAATTTCAAATCACCACCATCACCGGACAACAACACTTTGTTTTTTGTTTCAATGTAATAAGATTTGTAATTTATATAATACGTGTAAAGAAATTAATTACATTCAGTTACATGCTTCGATTTCTTGTAAATATTACCGGCAAAATTTGACTTTCTGAAAACAAAATTCGTCAGTTACTAAAATCGCATTGAGCTAAAATTTATATTAAACCTCATTTAATGAGACGCGTGGAATTCGAACTCCCAACCAATTTCATTCAATCCAAAACCAAGTTTTTTTCAATATAAGAGTATCATGTGCGAAATATTGTAATTTCTAAGATTGTATTTATTTTTTGTTTTCAAATATAACTGACAAACGAAACAATCACAAAAAATAAAAATGTTACAAAATAAGATTTAAATTGAAAAAAAAATCCAATATGAAGCGAGAAAACGCGACATAACGCTAAAAAGCGATTTCTTTCAGGCAACCTTGAAGATGGATATATACAATAATAAATGATGATAATGAGGGTAACAGCAGAGCTACAAGATTATGCCATGCTAAAAATATTCTTATAGTTTGACTTAATAATTAAAGTATTTACTCCGCTGGCGCAGCGACCCAAAGTGAGTCTTGGCCTCCGAAACTAAAGAGCGCCACTTTCGCCGATCTTGCGCGGCTTTCGCCATTCGGCCACACCGAGCTCACACAAGTCCGTCTCCACGTCGTCCTTCCAACGATTCCAACCTTCCAGCGGCCGACAGGTCAGGCTGCCAGTTGGGGTTCCGATATACGCTTTCTTGACACTCCGATCATCTCTCATACTTCGGCCAGCCCAGCGAAATTTTCGGGATTTTGCTTCCCCCATTATGTTGGGTTCGGTTACGAGTTTTTCGATCTCTTGCTTTAATAATGAAACTAATTTACCCAATCCAATTTGTAAACCATGCACATAAGTGAGTATCAAATTATTATTTGTATTAACTGTTTGTTTCAACCCTGGCGCATTGAATTCGCAAAAAGCAGAGTAACAAAAGATAGAGACGTCTGTCGGTTAGTTTAGCTAATTATCCAGGTCCGAATGCAAAGTATTGCAGCCACGCTGATTATTTAGATGTGTTTTGTTGTTAGTCTAGACTTTAGACAGTCCTGGGAGGTTAGGAACGCTGGTACGCAAAGTGTATTTTATGATTCTCAACTACTGTATTCTCGCGCCGATGTAAGAATTGGTGCATCTATGTTTGATGTTAATTTTAATAAGGGGTGCGTCGAAATTGTTTATACGACTATAGGTATATATTTTTTTATGATAGAGGAGGACAAACAGGCTTTATGGAAGGTGAAACACTCCAGGCACATAACATTATTATCGACCTATTTTTGCTTTGGATATTCGGAAATTTTGATTAACTAGTTCTAGTTAGTCTAAATCTTAAATTGAATAAATAAAAATATTAATCTCTTAGTTCTATTTTAAGATTTATTGTCATATATACAAAATCGTTACGAATTCATTAAAACCATTGGTTTAGTTTCAATCACTTATCGTCCCACTAACCAGAGATATGATAGAGGAGCATAGACCACTCGCGGAGCACGGAGCTCACTTAATGTGAAATACATACACCAGCCACACAACATATCAACAAGATGCGTTATCTACCTTTTTTGGCTTTATATTCTAGAATACACAGACTGAACCCGATACGTGATTAAACTTCACTGCTTTTTCACTTGTGCTGCGGTGGTGGTTTGATACCCGAATATTCCTACCTATTTAATATTCAGATTTTCAGTAGAAATCCAACATGAATTTTACTTAGACTAGTCATTGGGTCCAGAGCCATCGGTTGCCTATAACGCCTACCACGGTGCATTAATGGTGAGACTAAAATGCTCTCTGCTGGGGATTGTGTCACCTCATACTTCCAACTCCGAAAAAACTTTGATTTTTTAATTAGAAGTAATATTTTGCCCATCCCCGGAATCGAAACCGGACCTCGTGACTGAATAGCATTAAAATGACTAAAATGAATGATTTACACGAATAATATACTTTTAAATAAAACAGTTTTAACAGTTCAATACGCTAAAACTCTAGGCCGTTGTTGAGAGAGAAAAGAACATAATGAATAATTCACTTCAACAAATTGAAGTGATGGTGGGTCTTAGTTTAAAGTACATATAAATAATTACTTAGATTTCACCAAAATTTGGTTTAGAATATACATAATTCTTAGATTGCAAAATTATTAATTAATATCGCATAGTGAAATCCCGTTTCCCCCTCGTGGAGCGTGGGGCGAACATAATTATGTGTCCGTTTCACTGATCCGTTCATTTTAACAGGCAAGTTGATCAGACTTCTGTGCCCTACCCGACCGGAACAACGTTTCTTTTTGTTCCCCTGGAATTCTAACCCAGGACATCTAGAGCTTAACGCAATGCTAGGCAATACGTTTAACCTTTTGGCTACAGAGTCGGCCATTAATTAAGGTAGGTACATATTGAAACAATAGATTTTATAAGACAGAAATGTATGCAGTAATTCGGCGAGGTCACGCTTCCATGTTGCTAATAATTGTCCGCATGACTAACTGTTAGTCATTGTACAGAGCACTTATATATAGAGACAAAACAAATTAACATAAGCCAATCCTTTTTTTTTAAATGGAGGTGTGCTTTATAAATAGAGGTATGACGCAGAACTTTGTTCAACTACCTACTTTTAACGGCTTAAGATGTGAATTATACAAGTTAACATATTAAGTATTGTAGTTTAAGCGACTATTACACATTTAAATAAAACATTTTAACCGGTTTAAAACACAAAATTTTGACTTAGTTTTATTTAATATGGCTATGGTTTGACATTTCGGTTACTTTGCAGCGTCCCTCCGTGACTATGGTTGCTGAAAAGCAGCTGAAAACCGTAAAAATATTTTATTTAAAATAATAAATTTAATTTTAACTACGTCACCGTGCAAAGTCCGAAACATAGGGCCGTAATTAATTTTAAAAATAAGTTTACTACTATTAAACAAATTCGGTCTTTATAACAGCTACAAAAATATGTCGTTCAGTAATTTACATAGACGAAACGGTGTTAGTTTTTTATACAAAAAAATCTAATCAAAACTAATTTAGCTACTTATTTAAATATTAACAACGATAAGTTCCATTTAAATAGAACACGTTAACGGTTTCAAACGCGATATATTTTAGTTAAACTTATTTGAAAATTATTTTTTAAGCGAAGACACTGTGAGGTAATTCTACCAAGACCCGGCCAGTTTCGCCGAATACCAACTTTGACGGAACAGATGGCGCTAGCGTAGCATACTTTTTACTTTGACGTCAGAGACATACTCCATCCTTAGTCTCCCAGTGACCACGGCTGTTGCAAATCATGCGAAACGTCGGACCGTAGTTGAAAATAATTTACCAACAAGTTTAAAAAAAATATCGCGTTTTAAACCGTTAGTATTTAATTTAATATTAATATTCTTTTGTAAATAATAATTCTTTATTCAGGTTCAAACCCACATCTTACAAATATGTCATAAAACAATAAAAATTCAAATAATAATAATAATGTCAATACGAATCAGTTAAGATTACTGTTTATTTTAAATGTGTACTACTTGCGTAAACTACTGACAGTATTTAGTTAGTTCCATTTCTCAGAATGTAATGTTTGAGTCTCTGTGCTGTTATAGCCTATGCAGATCACTGATATAACGTAACTCGAAGGACCAAACTTTCACTAACTGATAAAGTTCTCAGACGGCTCGACTTTGATCTTGGATTAAATGGTCTGTGATTCAATATTATCTCCATTGTTGAGAAGATTTTATATTCGGACCAAGCATTATTCACCAGTCTATGAAATATTAATAAACGTAGACTCGAACCCACGAGTACGAGTTACTTTAGGTATTGTCTGCAGTTTACGCGAGCAGTACACATTGAAATAAAATTTTAACCGTTTAAAACTCGAAATATATTTGTAACAATGGCTGCTGCTAAGTAAACGAAATGTCATATCGTTTTTTTATGATCGAGGAATACACAAGCATGGTTTTCACTTGGTAGGTGAAATATCCCAACCCATAAAGCATCTAAGATGCGCCGTCGACCTATTGGCTTTGTATATTCGGAAATCCAGGGATTAAAACCGATACGCGAATAAACTACACGGATTTTTC